AACAATCCGATTATTAACTTATAATTTATACTAAATTTTTCTGCGGATGAGATTGCCGGATTCTACGGTGAGTAACCAGATACTGCGTAATTTAACAGTACAAAGGCAATCAGCCTAGATATGTCATGTAATATTTTGTAGTTGTACATACAAATGTACTTTTTGGTAGAGCTGCTGCCGATTAATCGATTATTTTTCCACAATCGATTATGCTAATATAGTTGAATAGCTCAATAAATAGTTGAATAGCTGAATAAAATAGTTGAATAGCTGAATAAAATAGTTGAATAGCTGAATAAAATAATTGAATAGCTGAATAAAATAATTGAATAGCTGAATAAAATAGTTGAATAGCTGAATAAAATAGTTGAATAGCTGAATAAAATAATTGAATAGCTGAATAAAATAATTGAATAGCTGAATAAAACAGTTGAATAGCTGAATAAAATATTGAATAGCTGAATAAAATAGTTGAATAGCTGAATAAAATAGTTGAATAGCTGAATAAAATAATTGAATGGCTGAATAAAATAATTGAATAGCTGAATAAAATAGTTGAATAGCTGAATAAAATAGTTGAATAGCTGAATAAAATAGTTGAATAGCTGAATAAAATAGTTGAATAGCTGAATAAAATAGTTGAATAGCTGAATAAAATAATTGAATAGCTGAATAAAATAGTTGAATAGCTGAATAAAATAGTTGAATAGCTGAATAAAATAGTTGAATAGCTGAATAAAATAATTGAATAGCTGAATAAAATAGTTGAATAGCTGAATAAAATAGTTGAATAGCTGAATAAAATAGTTGAATAGCTGAATAAAATAATTGAATAGCTGAATAAAATAGTTGAATAGCTGAATAAAATAGTTGAATAGCTGAATAAAATAGTTGAATAGCTGAATAAAATAGTTGAATAGCGGAATAAAATAGTTGAATAGCTGAATAAAATAGTTGAATAGCTGAATAAAATAGTTGAATAGCTGAATAAAATAGTTAAATAGCTGAATAAAATAGTTGAATAGCTGAATAAAACAATTGAATAGCTGAATAAAATAGTTGAATAGCTGAATAAAATAGTTGAATAGCTGAATAAAATAGTTGAATAGCTGAATGTTGGGAAACTTGCCACTAATTGAGTTACCATCATCAAATATGCAGAAAAATAAACAAAGTAAGCTTCCCAATAAGAAGAGGGTTTACTCGAAGCGATACAAGCATGGCTATTATGCAAAACGACAAATTAATACTCAATCCCAACGTAGCATAACTAAAATCACCGATCGGATTCCACTGGATGCTGTGAGTGAAATTCCCAAGCATCAAGGGAAGCATAAGACATCACTCCATTCCGCTCACCTGACAAATTTTTGACGGCGCCGTTTAAATCATCGGCCTCACCCAAATCACCCCCCTTACCCAAACCTTCGATACGATCAAAATTACCGGTCCCATCAGAATCATCGACCTCATCAGAATTTCCAGTCATATCAAAATTTCCAGCCAAACCGTCAACCACAACAAAATCAGAAAGATTGGTTGAATTACCTAGAATTTGTTCATGGGATGATAAGAAAAAGAACTTAGCTATTCCTGTTAGAATTACACAGAGACAAAATTACCACCACTGTAATTCTAATAATACTTCAAATATTAACTCAGGGAGACGAAGTAACTTGGTACCTATTAATTTAACATCCACAAGAAAAGTTCCTTCGAGACAGTCGGGTTTTGCTGTTCCTAAGTTTATGTTTATCAACATATGTAGTCTGGCAAAAACAAAAAATCGAGTACGAGCTGTAGTTGCACTGGAGGCAGACTTGGTCAATAACGATATAGATGTATGTGTGGTGAGCGAGAGTCACCTGAAACCTGAAATGCCAGATGCTGTGGTGACCATTCACAATTATTCAATATTTAGAAGAGATAGAAGTTGGGAAGGACGCGATATGAGAGCAAAAGGAGGGGTAGCAATATATGTTCGGAACAACTTAAAAGTTATTGGTATTTATCGATCCAGTTTGTACGAACTTATTGGTGTCACACTTCTGTTACCTACAGGAAACCGCATGTCGATATATGGCCTTTATCACCCACCTAGGGACAATTATCTGGAGAGCGACTTATTGGATTATTTGATAAATATTTCTGACGACGTTCTGGACAAATATCCAGACACTGTAATTGTTTGTGGAGGGGATTTGAACAGTTTGGACATAAAACACCTTGAGGAACTATCAGGATGGGATGCAATGGTCGACTTTTCAACAAGGGGTAACGCATGTTTGGATAACTGCCTTACAAATAGAATAGATTTGTTCTCAAAATGTTATCCTTTCCACATGTTAACTAAAACAGACCACATGGGGGTTATTTTACCAGCAGGAACGAAACTAAAACCTATGCGCCGAAAGGTTGAATTTCGGGATTGTAGAAAGCATCGAAAGGAAGATTTCCACAAAGCTTTAGCAGAAGAAGATTGGGAGGATGTATCGCAGTCTACGAATGTAAATGACGCTGTGAATTGTCTTGAACGTAAGATCATGGATCATATGAATAAATGTATGCCCACAAAAACAGTCTCAATTTCGTCACGTGACCCTTACTGGATGAGTCCTTTAATTAAATCTTTGCTAAAATCTAAATCCAGAATTGCTCGGTCGCAAAAGGATAGACTCAGTTTAATTAACAAAAGGATTTCTGATGTCATTTGTCAAAACAGAAGAAATTTTAGGGCCTTGGTGGGAAGTAGAACTTGGTGGAGAAAGACGAATGATATTTCTCTGCGAAATGCATCGTCATCAAGAGTTACTTTAGATAATGCATCACTTACAAGATTAAATCGCTACTTTGGCGAACTCTGCCACGATGATCGTTATGTCGAACCGACGCTCTCATTTATTGGTGATGAAGTAGATATTCCTAGCTTTACGGAACAGCAGGTATGGAATGCCTTGAAAAGAATAAAGAGGACAGCAACAGGTCCCGATTATATTCCCTATTGGGTTTGGAATGATCATGCGGAAATTCTAACCGAAGTTATAACTAACGTCTGGAATTTGTCCCTTTCATCACATACTTGGCCAGATTCATGGAAAAGAGCGAATATTAACCCTCTTGCAAAGGTTGATTTACCAAAGGAAGATGGTGACTTTCGTGGAATAAATATTACACCTGTAATTGCGAGGACCTTCGAAAAGCTCGTTTATAATAGTCAGGTCAAGTCGACAGTTGAGGAAATTTTATCCCCAACGCAATTTGCGTACAGGCAGGGGGGGGAGTTGTACAAACGCTCTGTTAACTATTCAGAACAAAGTACTCAGCTTCTTAGATAGAGCGGACTGCAAAGCAGTTAGACTGTTTTCTATGGATTTTAGCAAGGCTTTCGACTCAGTGAAACATTCACTCCTCTCGGAAATTTAAAAACTATGGAACTCAACCCTTATATCATAAATTGGTATTTAAATTTTCTAAAGAATAGAAAGCAAAGAGTCGTTTGTAACGATTTTTGTGGAGAATGGATGGATGTTAATAAGGGTACAACACAGGGGAGCGTAAGTGGCCCCTACCTTTTTAATATTTTCCTAAATGATTTAGAGGTGGACATAGACGGCGA